TACAGTTATTAAAAATAGTTTTACCAACTGCAGCATGCAGGTACACATCCATGCTGTAATACTGAATAATAGTCTTTTTCTTTATGGTCCTTTCACTATATTCAAATGTAAGTTTCTACTTTGTGGTATTTTTACTTTATTTATTTTCCAGTTATTATCACTGACTACCAAAGCATCTCACCCCCGACTCTATATATTACAAAGCATTCAATGCTCATATTTAAATATTTAAATCTGATGACAGTAACGTGTTTAAAAAAATAAAATGCAAGGATACATCTCACAGAGGAGAATCTTTCCTTTTCAGTGCTGTGTAAATGACGTGTGTGGAAAAATAGTTTCACAGCCTAACAATGACATGCCTCTGTCTTTTGTTATTATTAAAGCATCAGAGAATCCAGAGAAGTCTCTGCAAGTGATGAGGCTGAATAAATGACCTTCAGATGGCAAATATCTGAAAACCTTTGTGGGTGAACACAGTTTTTCACATCACCCACAACTGCAAGTTTAAAACACCAAGACGGATCCTTTAAGGCTGCTTTCCTTTCAGCTCAAATCCTACAGAGAGCAAACACATTTAACTTTCAGAAATACAGAAACTGATCTCCTCAGCTCACAAACGCTTACTATGAGGTGATGCAGCTGATACGAGTTGCACTTTCAGTTGTATTTTCAATTAAATATAAGCTTTCATTGATTTAAAGCTGCATTCTGTTTGTTTTACATCCGAACTTATTTTCACATTCTGACCAAATAAAGGTCTGAAAATAGGATTTAACTTGACTCTGGCAGTGAACAGCCATGTTTAATATTGTTAACAGCTCCTTACAAAGATAATAACTTCAAACATAGAGATTCCTGACGACCCTCACTGGTCAACTTTTATTAGTACGGAGTAATTCTACAGAAGGGCGTCGCATCTTTGAAGTACTAAACTTAAAAAAACAAACAGCGTGTCTTTCCAGGAACGATGCTTTGTCATCCTGGGCAATAAACCGAGCAGCATAAACATTGTGTGCTTGCATGCTTGAGGTTTGGAGGGAGTACCAAGGACACTTAGTGCTAGAGTTTAAAATGTTTTTAGTGCTTTTAGCACCATACAGATAATGGTTATCCTCAGCTGTATTCAGGTGAAGCCGTGACTGTCAGAGAAAGATTTTCTTGGTTTAACAAATAAAAACCAAGACCAGAGCTGCATCAGCGTTGGACAGATAAATATAAAAAGATATTATAGCTTCTGCCCTCCTCACAATGTTGACAGATTCATTTTTTATCTGTATAAAAAAACATCTTCTCAGTACATGTCACCACCGCTTGTTTCTTTTTTAATAGAAACTAATAAACAAGAAACAACAACTAAACTTTGCTGTAAACAACTTCTCCCTCCTGCTTTACAGCTGTAGACTTTTGCAAACATCCACCACCTGCCCACCTCACTATTCTAATAGCATGTTATTCATTAATTCTCTAACCCCACGTTTCTTCTGAATGGGATCTGTAATGTCCAATCAGGCTGCTTTTGTTAGCTTTCTTGTTTCATGTTCAGTGCTGGAAGCGAGTCGATGCAGCCAGTGGATCCACGGTGCTGATTTACAAGAAAACTGCCCTCACTGAGTGAATTACTGGTGCTAAAAGATGATGATGCTGTGACGTCACTGTGCTGTTCTTCTGACAACAACAAATGGACCAATCACATTGTTGTGCTTTGTGTTGGATGGGTGAATGCAACACAGAACCTTCACATACAGAAGCTGGTTTCTTGTCCTCAGTGTGTGAAATAAATTTAACAAACTTTACATTTTAAGTTGCATTTTGGTTCATTTTTAAAAAGGTGATCCTTTTTACAGCAGTAAGCATGTATTTAAAAAACCTTTCAGGCTTTATGGCAGTCAAACTTCTCTCATTTGCAGACTTTGCTTCCTGCTCAACATTAATGACTGAAGAAAAAGGTTTTGCTCATTTTTGATGTGAAACTTTTAGATCAGACTCAGATATAAAGGACTGGTAGGCTCTAACTCCATTAGAAAGCCCGTTAATAAGACGATGTGAACAGAAGCCCTGAGAACAGATTAAGAATGCGTCTTTTATTCTGGCCATTAAAAAATGTATTTTTCCCTCCTGTTCCACAGGCCATTGAATGCATCACACAGGGACGGGAACTGGAGAGGCCACGCACCTGCCCGAAGGAGGTCTACTTGCTGATGCAGGGCTGCTGGCAGAGAGAGCCCCAGCAGAGGATGGTCATGAAGGACATCCACAGCCGTCTGCTGGCCCTGGTCAAGAACCCCCCGGTTTACCTGGATATCCTGGGCTAGAGGGGCCGAGGGCCAACCAGGCTGGGGAGGTTGGATTTTTGATTTGAGATATAAAACTTTAGTCTGTTACTCATTTAAGTTCAACTGCATTCTGCTTTTCCAGCTGTGATGCTTCGTGGGCAGTAACATCTGCTTTGACCTTTTTGGCTGCAGTTTTGCCTCATTCTAGCTCGACTTTGACCCCTTAACTGGTTACTGCCCCGTCCTTCTCTGGAAACCTGTCACATGTTTACCAAAGTGTTTAATGTTTATCTGAGGTGGGATGAGTCTGATGGAGGAGCGTGCATGGATAAGAACTAAAATAACTGCATAGGCTCTTGCTGGGAATCTACTGCCACATGGTGTCTGGAGTCCCTTCATCAGCTGAGCTGCGACACATTTTAAATGACTTTTAGCTGACGTGCTTGTGTTGGTTTAGAAAGCAAAAACTCGTTTTACAGATCTTAGTACAGCAGATAGTCATTTGTATAGTACCGTCACTGATTTTGGATAAGTTTTGATATAGAGGGTTATTAAGAAAACAAAGAAAAAAAGCTTTCATTGATGTATATAAGATAGTCACAGCCAAACTTTGTTTCTCACGTGTCAGATTGAGTGTATCATATGAATATTTTTCAGAAAAAAAAAGAAGAACAAGATGTCAGACGTTAGCAGTGAAAACGTTTCCTGGTATATCAACGACTGTGTTTACATTTAATTACTGTCAAATATGAACTTCCAAAGAGCGACTTTTCAGCCTGCGGCCGCTATTGAGACTCACTCAGGAGCGGATTTTGGACAGATCAGCCATGTTTAACATGCTACTGTAACGACCTTCAGAATCAAAGTGCTGCAGTGAAATTTGGTAAGGAGGCAAGCTGGTGGAGAGGTGACACCCCGAGAGGTAACAGATGGGTTAAAGCGAGACTCCAGGAGGAGAAGGACAGATGGCACTGAAAGTGAAACTGGAGGTGAACCCACCACCGTAACATTTGTCATTCCACCAAATGGGGCATTGAGAGGGTGAAAGACAGGGTGTGTAAACCCCTGCGATGCCTTTAAGTGTACATACTGAGTGTATATACTCTGTATTAATGTCTAAAACAAAATATATATATATCTTCATGTATTGTTACTCCAGCACTTTGTATATTGTCTGCCCTTAAAAATAAACAAACTTGATTAAAAAAACGAGGCTGCAGTGTTCGCAGGAACATCCCTCTGCATCAGTCAATCCATCATTATCGTATGCTTCAGACTGAACAATGATTTGGACTCCTGTCTGTACTTAAAGTTAGACATCTTAACAAGGCTATTCAAGAGCCTTCTATTATTTTGACGAACTAATCAGCAACCTGCGACGTCTCCACGGGATGCTCAGCAGACGGTTATTGAAAAGGAATAATCAAGTTTCATATTGCTTTACCGCGGGCCCTCCAGCAAACAAACACCCTCCAAAACCCAACTCTCTCTTTCTCTTCATCTCTCTGCCTTGCCCCCTTCCTTCATCACCACCACCACCCTCCCTCGCTCCATCACTTCGTATGCAGAGCGCCTCCGGGGAGTGGTAATGGATTGTGAGTAATGCTATCATCCCCTTCTTTCTCTCGACCTCCTCTGGCGTACCGGGAGGGGGATGAAAAACACTTGGACCCATGTCTGGCTCATTGTTTCTTGTAGTGTCTTACAAGCAGATTCTGGGGAGATAGGATTAGTACACTCTGTAGTATTTGTCCCTGTTATCCTTAAGGGCTCCATTTGTGGTTTCAGAATGAACCTTTTTAATAAGCACTCGAGGCTCCACCCTGGTTGGATGTGGAATATGAGTATAATAAAAGCTGGAAATGAGGCCATTTTTAAAATGGAAGTCCTATTAGAGCTTTGCAGTAGGATACTTTCCTTTTCAATCTTCCACCTAGTCATATAATGCATGTATACAGGATATTGATTTCTTATGGTAATTATTTCTTCATGATAATGGTGGTGCCGATTCATTTTGGTCTACTGCTAATAATAAACCACTCAACGTGCTTTACCGTCCATCCTGCAGCGAGAGATTAGAGAACAGGAAGAGAAATGATTTAGTGAATCAAACCAAAGCAGAAGAAACCTGCACAACCTGAGAAGATGTGAGATAATCTGCAGATTAAAAATATTCACACTTACAAATGGCTACGCACAACTATTTCACATCCCCACATTTAAAAGGTCTTATTATTATTGACCCTCAATTCAAGGCTTTTAAAAGCAAACGCATCACCTCTGTGAGGGGGTTTGAGACTCCAACAACAACACTCAAAATACATTTTGAAGTCTGCAGATTTTCTCGTCCAGCAGCTGGTTTTTCCTGCAGACAAATGTTCCCTCTGAGCCTGCCGTTCATTTCTTTACAGATAAAGGCTGCTCAGCAGGACAAGCACCTCAAACTTAACAGGATGTGTTTGCTGTACTGTTCTGCCCTCTGCTGGCCAGTCAGGCACACTGCTCTGATTCCAACAAACGTTGAAGTGAGGATCTGCAGTCATTCATCGAGAAAAGACAAATTGTGAATAAAGACACAGTGACCAGTTGCATACATTTAACAGATTACTGGGTAATGTGGGAAGTCCTTTTGTGTACAGTTTCCACTGTTACATTAAGTGAAATCAGATTACTGAAAAAAAAAAAAAAAGAAAGTTTGCTTTTTGATATCACTCCATACAATAATTCCATTTATAAAAGGTTTCATTTATTACACAAATCTAGTAGAACAAAGCAGCAAATTACAAATTACACACGGCAAAGAACAAGTATTTATACATTTCAAGAGTAGTTTGTGTTTCGTATCAAAAGAAAAACTTGTATAAAACATTAAAAAAAAAGGCACCAATAACTTTGCCCCTCTTTTTTAAAATTCAATGGTTCCTCCTACTCTCGTCTTTGCGCTTCTCATCACTCAACATCCATCCATAAAGTGTTTAGAAAATGCCACAAGTGCTCACTTTTCCGGCTGTTATCGCCCTGAGGGTAACCGTGATCTGGTCTGGAGAAATCATTGATACGTTGGTCAAATAAGTGCAGATTGAAACAAAACAAAACAAAAAAAATAGATGACGTGAGCATGACTGAGTTTTAGGACTCTGGCACGTCTGCAAACAGTAAACGGCTGCGAATGAGTAAGATGACACGAAAATTCCCCCCAGACAAACACCAGCTCAGAAGTAAAGTCTTCCAGACAAGTCTAGTAGAATCGCATTAAGTCGGTAATGATGCAATTCCAAGAATCAAGAGGCTCAAACAGAGGAATGCTGTAAGATGACGCCTGTAGAGAAAATAAAATTGATCCACGCCTGGCAGGGGAGGAGATAAAACAAAGGAACACCGATGGCAGCGTCTGCCATGGAAAGGAAGATGTGACTTTATACTCTGCACACTGACCTCGAACACATCTTAAAAACAAGTGCTCTAATATAAATGTGTGTGTGCGCTTTGTGATTCTACACACTCGCCGCCGACATTTCTACTTCAGCGTCCGACATGGACCTGTAACACACCTCAGTCCTATAATATCACATACATTTCCCCTCTGATCAACTTCTCCACCACGAGTGTTAAAAAATGCGTGTGTAAACGGCGATGATGAAGTAATGATGATGTAAATCTGTCCCATAAAAATGCTCAACAATGGGTTTAATACAGTACAAGCACGACGAGCATCAGTGCTACAACTGAGAGGTTTAGTAACGTAAGACCCAGCTTCAATCCTGTATTATATAACAGTATTATGCGACCTTATATGCTGATTAATGACTTGTTGGATTAATGGATCTTATCAAGTTTTTTTGTGCATTATTGGGAGTAAATTTCTCTTTACACAAGTGAGAAATATCCAAAATAGCCTTTTTTAAAAAAAAAAAAAAACAATAACAGCTGCAGCTCATTTCTTCCCCCCTTTTGTCAAAAAAAAAAAAAAAGGCTGAAAATTATTTGGGAACAAAAAAAATAAAAAAATTTAAAAAAAAGGGGAGGGGCCGCAATACAATTTATTTGCATTTGTCAGGCCCAGTTTTGGAGACATTAGCTTCTCTTAAATCTGCTGGAACCAACTGGCATTCGCCGCTTTGTGCTTGAATTACACAAAAAATATACTTTGAAAACTGAGCAGCACTGTCTCTTTCTACAAATCATAATCAAATAAATAGAGAAATTGTAGTTTTAAATTCACTTCATTTCAGTTAGATTTCAGAGATGATCCTGCTTTCAGTTTGGTTTTTGTTGGTTTTGTTGACTCACACACGTCAACACCAAAGACTCAAACACCTGTGACAAATTTCACTGTTAAAGACTAAAATGAGAGACTTTTTAGTTTTGTAATCACTAAATATTGCTTAAATGACGTTAAATAAATGTTCTTTTTTTTCTCGTTTTAGTCAGTAATAACGGCCGTGGCCAGTTTTACAGGACAGTAAGAACTACTTTCTTTCAGCTACAAGCTACACCCATGATGGGAAGCGTGCGTTTGTGATACTGTATAAACACCGACCTCTTCACCCCTCAGCTGAGCTCTGTTAACGAGCACCAGATGTAGAAAATAGCAGAAAGAAAATAGTTCCTGTGTGAAACGTTTTGCAGGGGCGTGATTTCTAGAAAGAGACAATTACAGCTGAGTTATTTCTGAGCACAATGAGGCAAATATGAAGTCAGTTTATCAAGACAAGGCAGAGAACTTTTCAGCAGATATCTCCAAAACTGTGAAGCTCACACAAAACCAATCTAGATGGTCCTGCAAAGTGCAGTTTAGAGTCCCAATAATGGTCAAAACTACTTGATAAGATGGGCCTTCTTTTCAGTGTTATTGTTAGCTCACCTATCTGATACAAAAACAAAACAAAAAAATAAACTGTCTTCCTTTCCGTTAATGCAGCTACAACAAGCAATAAATATTCTATAAATAGAAGAGTGGTAAATAGTCACAAGATACCTAAAGTATAGGAAAGGTTAATAGTTTGCAAAGTGCACCAGATACTGCAACAACACAAAGCTCCCACATTAATATCATCCCAGGCTATGGCTAGCTAACTATACATCTCTCCTCCCTCCATTCCTCTTAATTCAACCAGTAGTTATTATAAACCACACATGCTGGAAATTTCTCCAGATTCGAAATATTACAAACTGGTTTTATTTATGTATTTATTTTTTGCTTGTAATTTTAAGTGCTTTTCCCCGCTTTACCTGATAGTTCAGAGTGGATCTTATGAGACGTGATGGAAAGGTAAAATGGTGCCATTTGCTCAGAACATAAAATTGTTGAAGACCTTCAGGGGGAATGAGGCCACTATAGTGTTGCCATGGGAACACCAAATGGTTATAAAAATGGTACCTGTCTTTTAATCACCGCAGCACTGTAACCTGTGGCAGATTGTAGGGTTCATAATAAAGGCAGGCAATCAGAAAGAGAACCACACTGGTCTGCAAATCAATGCCAGTCAGAGTGGAATCAATAGGTGGATATACAAGAGCCGGCAATCCAGTCTGCATCACGTTATGAAGAGGTGAACATGTGTTGTCCATGCTGCTTTAACGCACAGGACAACTTCACTGACCAATGTGTCCAGTTACAGAGAATATTTCAATAATCACCGAATAACAGAAACAGAGTTTCTGACGCTGTTAATTAGAAAAAGAATCCCTGCAAATTGTGACATTGTTTCCAGTTTGAAGCTTGTAGTGATCCACTGCAAACAGGCACTTAGGTGTCGTGTTACCACAGCTTGCTTCCTTCAACCCAGAGCCTTTTTCATATAAGTCAGCAATGAGAAGCATAAAAACAAACAATCATTGGTAGATGTGTTTTCAGCCTCACTTCCATTAACACCAGAAAAAGGCTTTGATAACCGTGTCTGGGTCCTCAGCTTCTGCGTAAACACACGAACACGTCAGACGTGCAACGCTGCCGGGACACGGAATATAAAGTGAGAAACTAAAGGTGTTAAACAAGCACTACTGTCAACTGTAGTTGCTGAGACAGACAAACAGCCGAACCTTTCCTTTGGAAAGCGAATCAGCTTTTATGAGGCGGAAAACGCCCCGCCCTCACTGCTCCTTGCACCCGCAGGTGGATGAGTGTGGCTGGTTGGGGCTGCGGCACGGCTTCCAGAGCAGCGGGGCGCTGAAAATGCCGATTATTCCGAGGTTGATGGCGAGGCTGATGGCGAGTGCCCCGATGGTCCCAAGAAAAGATGGCATCATTCCGTGGTTCAGGAGCCACGTCCTCCGCGATGTCATGTCTGCGATCACACCCTCCATCTGGAAGTGGGACCCCACCACAGCGCTGACGTGGAAGAGCTGGTGGCTGTGGCCTTTGGGAAGGAAAGATGAAACAAAAACAGTCGAGTCAAGTCGCCGAACTGAATGGGCGAGTCCAACAGTAAAACTATGGTGTCGCTACTATCCAGAGCAGCTTTGAATTATTCACAGTTTAAAGTAATCCTCGTTTGCTTAGGCTGGGTTTTTGATGTGGTTTGAACCTTTGTGTCTGTGAAGGTTCTCAGTCATCCAGGTCATCGTAGTCAAAGGAGCTTGCAAAGAAAAGCGTCTGGACTTCTTTAAGTTACTTGAAGACGTTTCACCTCTCATCCGAGAAGCTTCTTCAGTTCTAAGGTCAAATGGTGGAGAGTCCCAGATTTAAACTCTCCACCATTTGACCTTAGAACTGAAGAAGCTTCTCGGATGAGAGGTGAAACGTCTTCAAGTAACTTAAAGAAGTCCAGACGCTTTTCTTTGCAAGCTCCTTTGACGTTTGAACCTTTGAACTAAACCATCTCGTGATTCATAAGGTTACAGTCCTGTCAACAAAGCCATCATAAAGCTGTATGAGACACTGTCCTAAGCCGGGAATGATAACACTCCACATATTAGAGAAAAGAAGAAGCAGGAATAAGGCTATCCTCTGAGGACCGGGAGGCAATGTGCAATTTTCAATAGTCCTTAAATAACTCTGCTGTGAACATTGTTGAAATATTTGATACTTTATTTCACTCGTCGTTGAGTCCTAAAGGGATGCACGCTCCAAGTGTTGGAGATGGTGTGGATCATCAGGAGCTTATGTTTTGGAGACGCTTAACACACAAAACACTGAATATATCATTTAAGACTTGTACACTATGAGATTGAGAGTTTGTACGTAAAACACTTTCGTGCCATGAAGCTGAGGAGAGATACAAAACTTCTTAGACTGCCAGTAAAAAAAAAGTGTATAACCAGTAAATTCGGCACCACCCTCAGCTGAAGACTGACATGGAGCTCTACAGGAAATATTTCTTTCAACAAAGGAATGATGGACTGGAATAACGGTGGCAGGTTGTGCATTCTCTTTTTATATTCGAAAAGTTGGGAAAGACCCTTTTTTAATATCTAAGCACCATTTCCTAATAAACAAATCTTTAAAAATCTCTTCTTTTCAAAGATTAACAAATGCAGCAGCTTTTTGTCCGCCTTCAGAGGCGTTTGAAACAATGACACTTGTGTGAAACCTCACCAGAGAAAACAAAACAATCCACCGAGCAAAGAAAGGTTTGCGCAGGTTTACACACCATCACTTCCAAAGTCTGTTTGATATCGAGCCATTATTTAGCGTCAATTGTGCAGCAACCAGCAGGGAAAACATTCAAAAACAAGCAGAGACAATAGAAGGCAAATGTAAGCGTTGCAGTCCCACACGGAGGCCAAACTAAAGAACACGGTGCTTAGAGAATAACGCTGACCCTCCCAAAGGCCTTTCCCAAACTATTGTTCATAAACTTACATGTATTCATATCTTGGAGCGAACTCAATGAAAACAGAGGCTTCTGAAACTTCAAAAGCTTTTGTACGTGCACTTGAATTTGAATGCGACTCATTTGGTTATTTTTCTTCGTCTTTTAACTGGCATTAAGTTTCGAAAGTGTGTTCCAAGCTGTACTGAGCGCCACCAAAGGACGTACCGAAGTAGTCGAAGCACCCCGGGGCCAGCCTCTCCGGGAGGTGGGCGGTAAACAGAAAACAAGTGAGGAAGGCGAAGAGGAGGTGGTAACAGTGATTGGACAAGGCGCCGGTTGGACTGCAGCTTCCACCGCAGCACAGAAGAATCTAAACACAGGGGGAAAAAACCGATTCTATTATTGGATTAAACACAGATTAACACTGATTGTCGGAGCATTACTGACCCAGACAGAAAAGTGACTTGCATAATGCACAAACTAATGAGGAATAGTGTAGTGATTAGGGGAATTAACTGATGGCAAACATTTGTATTAGTTAAACAAAGGAAATCAGATTCTGGGATAGTGAGCCAAAGTCCTATTACATTATTAAAGAGTGGCACTTATCAGCGTTTATGTAATGACACAAACAAACAGACCAACACAAGCTGTGGCTTTTGAAAAAGATACTTGTTCAGAGTGGAAATTAAGGTCAAATTAAGTAAGAGAAGAATGCAATTATGCAAGTGTATTATACGCCACTTTCTTCCTTTCAGATGTCGGAGCAAACTCTGTGAACTCAATTACTCAGCAGCTTGATATAGAGAAGAATCTACTGCCTCCAGATACATACAGAAACGACAAACACATCACACAGTCTGCAACTCCCACTCTGTGGTTTTCCTCCAATTTCCAGCTCCTTTGTAGTGTCAAAGAAATAAAATAAAACCTTCACGAGATGAAAAAGATGAGAATCTTCCAATATAAGCCCCCCTCTCTTTTTTCACTGGTGCCAGGCCTTAAAATGAAACAGGAGGAAAGCACAGACCAGCAGAGCGAACAGGACCAGCCTTTCATATCGATCATTAATTAATAAAAGGAATCATCACCTTTGTGTATGTGCTATGGTATAACCGAGTACGAGTTGAGCTGATGAGTAAAAGAAGACTATATATATTTGTTGATTTTATAAAACATCTGAACACAGAAATGCTGTAGAAAGTCAGAAACAGTGAAAGTCTGAGCTGAGAGAGTGTGAGCACCATCACTTCACTTTTCGGTCTCCTTTAACGTGACTTACCCTGTAAACCAGAGGGACGGTGTCAAAAATAAATGGGACGACAAATGCTATGGTCCGAAGGGCTTTACTTCTCTTTGGGAACTGCAACTCCAGGAACCTGCGGAGGCCAGCAGAGGGCAGCGATCATTTCACTTTGTCATCTCCTCGCCTTTCAAAGTAGCGCGTCTCAGCCCAACCTGTCGAGAAGCTAATGTAAGCCCTACAGCTATGCAAGAGTAAGTCCCTCTGATCATATTCCTCCTTGGCTTTGGTGCACCCTGCGTTCACGACACTGAAAGAATACAGAAATCAAATACTGTTGCAGATTAGGATCAGGCCGTTTACATTTGACTTAAAAGACACCAAAGCGCTGAGGATGCAAAATGGGGGAGGGTCACTTGCTCAGTGTGACCCTTCTGAAGTTTGTCCTGATAAAGTTCAGGAGTTTTGGACACGGTTCACTAAAATATTTGTAGTATTTAACCAATGCAAACTCCATTCAGACGCAGTATTTGTCAGTATGAGACGAAGACAACCTAAGTAAACTAAACTATTCTCATTATAGACTCTTCTCATAAGATGAAAGGCCAAGAGGGAGCTCTCCCTTCAAGCACGTACTGTTGAGCTGGCAGGAGTACCAGCCTTAAAAGTCCTATAAACTATTCTGAATTCTAAATATTTGGCTTTTGCAGGTGGTTCCTTAGCTGGGCCGCAGGCATGGACGACTTCTATTTTGCTTTGTTACTGTACACAGGATAGATCGCTGAATTTCCTGAAATACCTCTTTCTTTAAACATACCAGTACACTACACATGAAAAACAAAAACGGAGTTAAGGCAAACTGTTGGTGCAAGGAAGGTGTAGAGGGCAAGTCTACGCTTGAAGCCACTGTGGTGTTCGCCATAGTCACAGTCCAATAACTCCAGCTGTACTTATCTTGTCCATTTAACAACTTTATTGGATTCCATCGTTTGTATTTGTTGTTCAACAGTACTTGGTATCCAACGTCATTTTACATAAAATCACACAAACTGTTTGCGCCTTCCGACCAACAACACCTGACGCTAAGTACATGTGTCTACCTTAAATACAGTCCCATAAACACACCATGCTGTAAAAACACTAAAAGTGACCCTCAGCAGCACACATAAGGTAACACCACCTCCTGGCTGCTACAGGAGGAGCAAACAATTATTTGGAAATCTATTGTTCCACAGAAGTGAGCTACATTCAGTCAAACTCTGACATCCAAGTTTTTAAACTCACAAGGCTTATTGACCTTGATTTGTGCACGACTGTAAGATGCAGGATGCTCAAAGTTGAATTTTCTAAGCAAGCCTGAGGACAGAGAGGATGTAAACATCAGCTTCTTACCTGGAATAGCAGGACAGGCTGGTACAGAACACCGTGTTTCCGATGGCAATGGGAACAAAATGCTGATGAAGCCAAGTGTTTACCCAACACTCTGGCATGACGTAGTATCCGTAGCTTATGGCACATCCTGATTTAAAACAGGAAATTAAAAATATTTATTACATCAACTGACCCGAGAGAAGCCTGAACAACTAACAGCTGATAAATAAACATATTTCATTCTGACTGCAGGACAATAATGGCAGACAAAGAATTTCAGCTACAGAAACTAAGACAGAGAAACTTTTATTTTAAAAATGTTGTTATTAATCCTCAAGATACCTGCAACATTTCCCCCCAAAATTAAAGAATAGATTCAAAGCACACACAAAAATTGAAAGCTGCAACTTTATGCTACAGTGTCTTAAAAAAAAAAAAAAACCCCAAAAAGAAAATTAGCATTTTACAAATAGTTTTTTATTAATGAATATTACACTAGTGACTTCTACTTCAAATACTTTAAAAAAGATCAAAGCAGAAAGAGAAGCATGTCAGAGATCTTTGAAACTAAATGAGGTTGTTAACTAAAATCAAAGACTCTTATATGAAGCAGAAAAACAGAAAAACAGTGCATAATATACGTGGGACTTGTAACCCAAATAAGTAGCTCTGATGTTTCTCTCTGGAGAAACGCCACAATCAAAGCTCTGCCTGCGACCACCGAGTGTGCGCTGTGTTCTTTTTGTCCTGCAGTGACACCGCCTGCTGATCTTATTCCTGAGATGGACTTTTGAGCATTTTAAACTGGGTAAATCTTGGCCCTAAGAAGCTTTGTGGTAGATTACTAGTGAGCCAGCCATGGGCCAACCCCCCCCCAAAAAATAACAGGACTTCTAAGAGGGCCTCAGTTAATGTTTAACTGCTGGTTTGGGATTCTATATATGGTACAGAGATCATATATATAGACAGATAATCTGAAATGCATGTGCAGTATATCAATCAATATCAAGTTGTCTTCTTGTACAGTGTATCTTGAAAAATAGATGTTTTTTTTCATAAATTATTTTTTTAAGTTAATTTGAATATACTATATATTTATTAAAAATAAGGTGAAATATTTGATGCTTTTGAGTTTTAATTTTTATGTAAATGGATCGTTTCTCATTATCTTAGATTCACAGAAAATTTCTGAAGACCAATGAAAATGTTAAACTTCTGAAAATGACGTTCATTTATACTCTCAAACGCCTGATACATTTACAACTAATGCATGAAGAACACAATATTATATTTTTTTGATCTGCTCTAGTATGTGCTCACCCTCAAATATGCAGGCAGGTGGTGGGGAAAGAGTTTGCAAATGAACAGCTGCGCAACAAGCAAACCTTCCTTAAAAAACAGGAATGTTCAGTTCCCTCTTTGTGGAAGTTCCTTGTAAAAGCAGGTGCATGCGGGAGGGAAATACTATTCATAGGAGAGCTGGTTATGAAATCAAGCAAATACTGGAGCCATAAAACCCGATCCATCTTTCATGACAGTGGCAGAAAGGAGAGTAACATTGTTTCCGTGTGCTTTGAGTGCGAGGCATGTCTGATTTCCATATAATCGCAAAGGCTAACACAAGCAAAAATGCTTTGAATATTACTGTGGAACGGAACTTACCATGCAAACAGTTCAGAGGAGAAAGAAAGCAACGTTTCATCTCTTAGTATAGGACGCATGCACTATTATGGATAGACCTTAATAACGGAGCAGTCATCCTTAATGAGATGCATGATGGTTGATCAGCCTGTTAAATGTGTTTCATAAAACAGAACCACCTCAAACTGTTTGACTTTACTGTGGTTTGGAGTGTTTCAAGCACCTCGGCCTTTACCCGTTAAATCTAAATTATTCTGTGTGTTATATTTTAAACTATTTTCTTAAGGTGGAATCTACAACCATTTATTTATTTACCAGGAGATGGAGAGACTGAGGAGACGGTCTATAAACAAACCTCTTTCCTTCACGTAGTTCAAAGATGGAAAAGATAAAGAGATGAAATTCTGAGCATTACGTTGTTTCCTCCGTTGATATTTGGTTACCTAGTAACGCTATCACGCGCTAAAGAAACAAAATACACCCCCAGACATTAAACACCGCTGTGGTGTCAGGACTTTTGCATTCAACCCCCCCCCGTGCACAAAGATTTACTACCTACAACCAGCCTGGATAGAGCTCACCTCCAAATCCTCATCCTGCTGCTTCTTCTCTGCTCAGAAAGAAGACTTTGTCTCGGGTGGCATGACCCATGAAGTAACGTAGCTTTAGCTTACCGTAACTCAGACAACTCAAACTGAGACAGGATGACACAAAACCATGTGACACATTAATCTAAAGTGAAATCTCATGATATTTCTTGCTGCGTGTAGCTGCTCCCTAAGCTGAAAAAGAACTCATGAAGACCATAGCTCGCTATAGCAAGTATCTGGTATCAATTCTAGGTGACTTCCTTGATGAGTTATTACAGTCACAAGATTTTCAGAAAACTTGACCTCTGACCAAACTTCTTCTGTTCACAAAGGTGAGTGTCCACACTGACCACCCGCCTCCCACCCAAGCAGGATGATGACAATACCCCATCAACTTTTCACAGCTGAGGGGTAAAAAGGATGCGACAGCTCAGAACGTCTCCCAGAAACAAACAAACAAAAAAATCGGGACAAAATAATCTTCTTATAATCCACAACTACTTCAAAGTTAACATTTTCATTCTGCTTTTTACTTATATATACACATTTTTGTTGTCTTCTCTAGTGTTGTTTTTTACCTTGGCCATCTGTTTTTATCTAACAAAGGCAGACGGGGAGGTAACAGAGCTGAACTGATGTCTGTATAAGAAGCAAAGCCAATATCACAGAGTGATGACACTGTAGTGTTAGACTTCACATCCCTGATTCTGCAGTGCTGGCGTGCTTCTTAAAAATGACACACCGTGTCCCCTTGGGACTGTTCAGGGAAACAATCAAAATAGAGTGTCATAAAGAGTGATCTCAGAGGAGTGTGAAAAGAGCTACCGACTCCTCTTTATGATTTCAAGATCGTCCTGTTTCTTGGAAATGTACAATAACATCAAAAATGCTTTTAGGCCTCCACCACCGGGGGTTTCTTTACCTAAGCTGTAGAGGCTGAGAGCTCCGTAGTCAAAGAAGTAGCAGATGTGGCGGGACTCTGCGGACATGGTGCTGAAGGTGTGTGCACAACTGGACGTGAAGGGGTAAACGCAGATGAGCATCATGTACACCAGCAGCGGCCAGGTGTAGCTGTCAGTCAGGAAGTTCAGGGTAGAGCAGAGAACGCAGAAACGCCACAGAAAGTACCTACAAAAATTAATTAACAAATTAAAAATGTATATATATACAAAAATGTGACCCCATACAGGTACATGTAACTGATGCTACCATGTAATATGTTGGCACATGCATCTGTTTCCAGGTTGTAGATTTACTACAGAGAAGTACTCTGTGACTGTGTTTCTTAATTAGCAATGTCACTGCTTCTCTCTGACATCCCGTGAGCTTCAAAGCTCTCTGACTTTACGTGTATTGTGATTGAGACTTAGTGAATTTTCCAGATGTAGCCTCCACATTTCCCCACCTGTCTGTTTTTCCCACCAGCACTATGAGAATTTTCAAGATTAAATCTCTGACTTTCAGTGATCCTTAGAAACTCTGTCGTGTTTACACAGCTGGAACGCTGACAAATGTTCACTTTACCTCTTGCTTTGATCATGAATATAACTAGACTTGTTCAAGTCTGGTGTGAATGAAAGGACACCAAACAAAACTCACCATGTTGGGAGGAAGTGGGTCCAGATGTTGATCGTCTCGTTGTTCATTTGGAAGCTGCTGAGGATACAGTCCAGTGCTGAGCTCCTTGGGTGACGGTATCCAGAGATAATGCCGTCCTCCCTGAACACCTGCGGAGCAAGCAGACAATCCAGGTGACAGGTGTGAAATTCAGCCAATCCTCGAAAAGGAAAAGCTGATCATCAAACTTCATCAGTAAGCAGAGAGTTTGCAGAACCACTGTATCATGTAGTTACACTACAGTCCTAATGATGCTGGGTTTCTGAGGCCAATATCAGTATTTAAATTAAATAAATGTTCATTTTCACTTTCCTCTAAACATAAAACCTTATTAGATCCTTTTGATAGTCATCATTAAAATGCTGATATTTTTATATTTTCATCGATCTGTTGTGGAAGAAACGTTCAAAAAAAAAAAAAAGATCATTTCCACAAAAGCCAAGTTTGCACCAAAAACTACAGAAAAAAGTTAAAAATATGTAGCAGAACTTTACTAGTGGTAATTATTTTTTTATCTAGCCCCTTAAAGTGTCTGTATATAGTTCCACCACTGTTTTCACTACAGTATGTAGTGAAAACTTGTTTCTTTATGGTAAAACATCCATGACCGGATCCATCTGGATGTTGCAAGAGGAAAAGATGTTAAGACAAACAAAGATGACAACTATGTAAATATTTAGCAGGAGGGCTCCAATATCACTGCCAGTTCACACAGATTACAGTACAGCACAGACTACAGTGAGTTGAAGGGAAAGTTCAGGTCGATGGTAACACGTTAGATGTTATGATTGGGTTTTTGAGATCTACTTTATTCATCACACCAGGCTCCCAGCGAACTTTATATTAAAGGCTGTCGGTTTTTACAGGTATTACCGGACTGTACACAACTCAAAAAATAAAGTAGAACAATATAACTAGAGTATGTGTTGCTGATCCCAGCAACAGTTTTTAATGTTTTTATATGTGAAAAAAAAACTTTTTAAACTCCAATAACAGAAAACCAAGGGCCTAATTTTAGTCTACACACTGAACTCATGGCTGGAAACCATGCTGCAGAACTGCTGCATGCAAACTATTTGTCACTTATGAGATAAGGTCACTACAGAAGGGAGGACGGCAGCCAAAGCAGATGCTTGAACTGCAGGGCTCTGGCTCCTGCTGACAGGCTCACAGCCACAATCAGCTACCAAACTTTTTTCTGCTGAAGTGTGAAGATTAACCCTCATATGGCAGAACCATTGTGTGCAAATACACTATGGCTCAGTCTCTGAGACATGGATTAAGCCTAATCTTAAACTAAACTTCTTTCAGTTGAGATTTCTTTACTTTATGTCTATGACTGGGCTTAATGCACGTCTGTGAAACTGGCTGTATGTCTGCAAGGCTGCAAGGTGCAGTGGGTCAGGGTTCGGAGGTAATCACATGATGAAATCCTGATCGTGGAAGCAAATAAAAGCCTTGAAGTAAAAATACAAACACGGAGGTATAAAAATAATATTATGCAATTTATCATTAAGGTTAAGTGAGACAAAATCCTAAATGTCTGTGGATTTACCACACAGTTTAGACTCTGTGTAGCACACTGTGGTCCTTTTTTAAATGTGTGGTGAAAATATTGCAATTAGGAGCTTTCAAAAGTTTTAAAACTAGTTACAACTAACTAAAACAAACCAATCGGATTATTTGATCAAATTAATAAATTTTCTCCCCCTCCTTTCAGAAAAAAACAACTTTATTTAAAGCATATTACTCTCTGCTGTGCCTGTGCATTGATTAAATGATGCAACCTGATGAAACAATAATTATCATACTACAAGAACAGCAAAAAAATAAGAAAAAAAAAAACAGGTTGCAAACTCATCTGTAGCGCAGCATAGGCTCATTTACATGGAACAAACTGAAAGCATAAAAATATCTCTTGGCATCGCTATTGTTTGAGGCTCGAGTCATTCGTCAGGCCGGGTCATATCCTGACAGACAAACCTGAGCGTTTCCTGGTGTTACATAAGACAGTAAGAAAAAATAAACATGCATTACATAAACAGAAGAACGGATGCTTGGCTTTATAGACACGACTATTGACAAAATCATTTCTCTGAAGACTTCTACAAATAACTGATGTCTATAGTAATAATAATAATGATAATAATAATAATAATAATAATAATAATAATAATAATAATAATAATAATAAAGCACTGCAGCTTCTCTGCAATTAACCTTCTGAAATGCTGTGTAATGCCACAAATGCTTTAAACTTGAGTGGAGGGCTGATTATTCGTCTCATATGTATTTACATTCACCTCTTAGTCCTTAAGAGTTTAAGAATACCTTCATCTAAGGAATAGAACCAACCCACCACCTTTTCCCATCAGTTATACGGTCCTAACAGACTGGACCTGGGTACACCAGGTTACTTTCTTACCTTGGGGACTTGGTGGATGTCAAAGAGCTGAGGAAGTTTGAAGCTAAGCATGTCTGCGGGAAGCCTGATGGCACCCCTCCCTCTTTGACAAACTTCCCTGAGCCTGGCTCGCCCCCCACGGCAGAGGACGAGCCACACGGGGTAGTCAAACACCGGTATTCTTGCCGCTAGGTCTGTTCTGTTCGGGTCCCATTTCAAGCAGCGCGCCCAGCCCTGGCTCCACCCAATGCCACTACTGGCCCCAATCCCACGCCACACAGGAAACACTGCAGGGACACAAAGACATGCACACAATCAGACACCAAGATAAGACCAAAACCTTGACTTCCTCACACTGGCTCCCCATAAAAAACAAGAATATTTTTTATGATTATCCATACAATTTTGGTTACTATCAGTCAACAGTGATGTTTGGTGATACACCTGTGCATTATTAAGTGTCAGAGACTTTATTGTTAAAATATTTATACATGACTTATGAAGTGATGATCAGATTTGCTGGTTGCTTGGTGTTACTCTGATTGCATGCAAAACCTGTAATTTAAAACCAATTAAATGCACAGTATTAACTGATAAAAGACATAGCTTTCACCCCCAAATAAATAAAATCAAATCATGCACTTCTTGCAGCATCATCAATGCATCATCAAGATTTTTTATTTTTATTTTCAGAAAATTAATTCCAGTAAAAGGTTGAAGACAGAAAGTGGCTAACAGCTATTGTGAATTGTAATTTAGGGCACTGAAGGAAATGATGATGTGCTCATCATTAAATCTGACCACCTGCTTTGTTTTGGTCATCACTTTGATCCACTGAAATCCACTCGCACAAATGCACCACACCGGATAACTGGTTCATCTGATGGCCCCCACCGTTAAAGTTTATATGACAGAGTCCTCGAGTGTGACATCTCTGTGGACTGGAGCAGACGCTGAGAACAATCGCGTATTGTCGTCGCTCTTGAGACCTACCCAGACACTGATTTAAAGAATGCCCAGCATTGTCACGCTGCAGAGGCCTGTGACCAAATGCAAAAATGTAATAAGAACATGTTTGTGTGAGCCACAGCCTTGCTGACCACTGCCCACTGGCTCACAATAGGAGTGTGAGCATTGCAACTGGATCATGTGGCAGTGGAAGAGGGCAGCCTAGTCTGAATTAGACTGATTTTCTTTAACAATTTGTGGACAGATAGCAGCATTATTTACCTTTGGAAGTAATGGCAGCAAGATAGGAAGGCCAGGACGGTCAGCTGGAGCCTACCGATGCTCATGACTGCATTGTATCTAACAACATCTAACCATTTCCTTCTCCAAAAATGTATCTTTTGCCTTGTTTTTACCCGTGTCTGGTAATATGTATTGCACTAACACCTTCTGAAAGTTGAAGTAATGCACCTGAAAGAAGAACACGTTTAACTGCCAAACACAGGAGTGATAAAACCTGTGTAGCCTGGTGAGGTTTGATGCTACGGTTCAAACAGGTTAAACGTGCACAGCAAAGACTATTGTGACTGAAACAGAAGTTCTGACAAACGGTAAAGCTAGCACCTTACAAGTCTATCCCACTATGCATATACTCTAAGAATACTAAAATATCTCCCAGCAAATATGAAATAGTATTAGGCTAAATCTTGAATTAGTTTAGGGCATTTCTGGCCTCAGTTACCGTACTCCAAATTTTTTAAGTAGTTTGGAGAACATGAAAAAGAGTTCAAGGTGTCCAAATTCCCCAGATCTCAGTCCAGTTGAGCATCATCCCCTCTGGCAGGGTGAGAGCAACAAGAAGGGGCCGCTGCTTACTGCACCCCAGCTGCAGGCCTCGGCCTATTAACAGTGACAAAGTGCGCTTTGTGGAGGCTAAAGCCTTGAGAGTACAGGGACCAAAGGATGACTGTTACACGCTGCACTGGATGGAAATGAGGCATCTCACAAACACACCCACACACACATACAACAGAGTCCCACCATTGCTCAAGTGCTCGGTGCACTAGCATGCAAGCACGCTGGCACAAATCCTGCATTCACTATGGCTGGAAAGCATAGCTGCACACAAACAACTTATAATACCACAAAGCTTGAGTTAATAATAAAAGCTACACACCTAGAAAAAAAGCTCATTTAGATTCAGATCATTGGCAGTGTGCCACCAATCATTTAGTGTGAGATGAAGGTGCGTTTTTGTTGGAAGGTGTGTGAATGCTGCGAATGTTAATTCTTTGTACTCAGCCTCGGGGACCAAAACAAGTGAAAGATATATGTTTTTATATTGAATTCTAGACAGATCAGTCAATGTTTAAATGTGAAATGAAATATGAAGAGTCCCAGCCTTCTTCTTGGGACTCTCATGTTAAAGTTTAACAAAGTTAAAAAGCATATTTACAGCTTGGTACACAAAACAGTTTTGGCCTCTGTGGATAATTTCCTCCTTCCCAACAAATTTATGGGTTGGGAATTTTTCACACTGATTATACGTTCTGCATCCATAAGTCCACTACGGTCCGATTGATGCAAATTTCATCATAGAGTGAGAGTCCAAAGGTCCGTGCTGTTGTTCGCATGGATGGCGATTTTTTTGTGAGTGTATGGACTCGTCTGCAGAGACTTTGCACTACAACACATCAGCGGCACTTATGCAGAGGGAAGAAGACTTCAGAGAAATAGAACAAGAATAGAACAACAGAACTTGGCCGTCACATCTCCAGGTGTCTGTGTCTTTATCCACAGCAGAGTATAAGGCTTCCAGCCTGCATTTGTGCCTTTTGGAAGCATTTCTCATGGAGTTATGTGACAGGATATCTACCGTAAATTATCCTGCTCCATGGTAAAGACCTTAAAAGAAGATTGTGCTTTAGTTTAAAGTACTCGAGTTTCACTCTCCTGTTCATCTGTTACTTGGGGCTGGGCGGTACGGTGGTGCGATGGTTAGCACCAGCTAGAAGGTCCTGGGTTTGAATCCAGACTGCGTCTGTCTGTCTCTCGCCTTTGCCTGCTATGTCTGCTAAATTATTCCAAGCAATACTACAAGCTGATCGAATATTGAAAACTGACAAAAGGTCTTGTGTCTCCAAGACCTGAGCTCTTTACTATTACTAGTTTAGAATAAAAGTGAACTAAACATTTGCCAGGTAAATGCTTTTAATGTGAAGTTCCAGCAGAAAGAAATATTTGAACAGAAATCCACTTTTTTCTCTGGAATGTCGCCAAAGACATCAGGTCCACAATAATGCAAATGTACAAATACTGCAATACTTTTGTCAGTGGGACACAGGCTCAGTCACCTCCATGTTAGACACTGACTTAATGCATTTAAAAGAACATTTCTGAGATAACCATTTTAGGAAACGGAAAGCTTGAATGGGTTCCCAGTTCACATTCAGTGCAGGCTCAAAGAAAAGCATCAAACATCAAACACAAGAGGCAACATCCACCTGTAGCCTGAAGCTCAGGACCAGAGCCAAATCAGCACAACATGCTGAGCATTCAATAAACAAACAGCGCCTGAAAAAGCTGATAAGTAGTCAAATGAGGGAGTGCCACCTTTTTCTTTTTTTCTACACAGCTTTGGATTAGAGGATGTAACCAAACAAGTGGAAAAGTAATCTAGTAATGAATGTGCCAAAGACACTACAGCTCCATGACAGGCTCAAAACTCGAGCCTCATCTTCACCCCACCCTTCTTCCTGAGGCCGTGCTCCCTTGACAGATTAACTGAGCCATTCGGGAAGCCCTCTGCAAGGATGTGTTCAGATGGTAAAAACGCACACAGAAATTTGTTTGTTGGACACGCACATTGAGCCTCATTAACACAGACGGGAACAAAAAAAGGTTTAAATCCTGTGAAAATATCAGTAAGAATATCTCCCAAACTGTCACCCTGTCCACTACACGCGAGGTGTTTACATGTGCTTGTCTGTGAGCGCTAAAGGCACCCACACTTTCTTTCCAGAATTGTGAATTGTGATAAACCTCACTCAGGCATTTTCATTGGCCTGAGGTGTCAGACTGCACATTTCCCACAAAGTTATGCACTTGCACTCTACGCTGCATGTGTGACAGTGTTTGTCAGCATCTTCAGGCTCTGCTCAAACACGTCCAGGACAGAAGACGACAACCCAACAGAACACATGCAGTAAACATTTCAGAGGGCTTGCCGTCGGTTATTGCACCATCAACCATTCCCATTTATATTAACAATTACATATTTTATGAGTAATGCAGTCTGCTGTGATGATTTTCATCCTCCAAGCATCCACCCAAGAGGACAGGCCCGCACAGGCTACAACCGCCTGTTTGCGTTCGACCCATGAGAAAATTAACAATGAGCGGGGAACCAGTTTTTCAAGTTGGGAAAACTCAACTGTTCCTCAGCACATGCAAAGTCTGATTGTGTCACATTAACTAAATATTTAACCTAAAATAATTTTATAGATCTATGAGACAATGTTGTCATTATGAAGTTGACTGAACTCATTGAGAATTGTGCTGTGCCAGAACGATCATGTTGTTGGGATAGCGGTAAAGCCACATCGGGTTAGGCCGACACATACAGCGTAGGAGGAGCGCCTGTGCTAATATTTGAGCTGCTGCAGCCGCAGACACCAGCATGTTAGGAGTGCGAAAGACACAAAAGACAAAATGACAGCAGGAAGTGTAAATAAAAACTGGAGTGACAGTGTCACCAAACACGATGCTCTGACTCACACAGCCCGAGGATCAAAAGTTGAGGTGTTGAAAAGAAGGGTCAGAGGAATTCAGCAGTGTGGGGATATTTTGGCTGTTTGAAGCCTGGCAAAGAAGCTGAGCAGCCCGCACTGCACACTGCATCGAAGTTTCCACAAAGGCAGGATATACTGTGGCAAGACACGATGCCAGTAAAGCAGAGTCGAAAATGTCGACTTTAAGTGGCTCATTAAAGTAATTGACCCTCATTATCAACTCCACAGACGGCACTTTCCTAGCTATACATGGAGTGGAGAGAGACAGCTGAACAGCTGGGTCACGCTTCACTACCATATCTGATTGTTGGTCAAGTCACATCTGATCCATATGAGGCTGACTGCCCACTTGAATTAAGACAGCTTGAATCTGCGCAAAATAAACGATATAGTGCAAAGACGGCTTTTTTATTTAGAACTGATTTTGTATTAATAATTTGGAAGAGACCAAAGAATTCAGTTGAGCATTTTCTTGTGTTCTTTTGTAACACTTGAAACATTTAACTGGTCATAAGAGCACACTGACACTTTTATGTCAGAGTGCTCTT